GAAGTGTCCGAACATTATGTGGTTAGGGCTCGTATATATGTAACTACTCCACATAGATCCAACCATTTGATTCAAATGTGCGACATTTTCGGCGTAAAAAGTCTTACTTTATCAGTGTGGTCTTGGCAAAATCTTTTTTTATTTCCAGTTTAAATTTATATAGAAAAAATATAAACGAATTCGTATTTAATTGCAAATAATTTTTGTATTCATACAGGTACTTTTACCACGAGAGAAACGAGACGAGACGAGAGAAAGGCACTCTCGAGCGAGAAAAGAGTATTCTCGACGAGACGAGAGACCCATTTTCTCTCGCTGCACGAGACGAGACGAGAGAAGGACTTTTCTCGTCTCGTCTCGTCTCGCGGCATCACTATTTAGGATAGTGTAAACTCATACATCGTTTTAAAAAAATACCAGCGCTTTTTGTAAATTAATTCTGATTTTAAAGGTTTTCAATAATTTTAAATAAATTAAATTTTAAATAATACAAACTCCAATTAATGAGTAAATTTATTAACTGGCAGAATTGACATTTGCACAAAATTTGTGTATTTAATAAGTCACCAATTAAAAGATGTCGAATCATGGCACTCTTATACAAAATATCACGTCACCCGCCACATGCACTAATACGTTTGAATATTACGCGCTTGACAGTCCTGTCACGCGCTCGAAAATGTTTAATATCTTCCGATCCAAAAGAGTCTCCACTGTTCTGAAAAATGTATTTTGTAGATAAAGAAAAAGCGCATAAAATAGTATTTTTTTCATTTTATTTTATAGAGGGGGCAAACATGAAAAACTAGTTTAAAAAATTAATCTGTTATTAACTCCCTATACTTAAAAAAAAAAAAATTTTAATTTATTTATTTGAAAAGCCTATTTAATAAGGTTTAAAACAAAAAAAAAACAAAATCGATCCGATCAGTAGAACCGGAGATAATGGGTTTTATGTAGAAGAGAATTTATCGTTTTATCGCAATTCATAAAAACTTTATATCAAGATATCTCTGAAAAAACATTTTTTTTACAGAAAACCTGATACACGTATCTGCTTATTTACTGAATAGAAGCGGTAAAAAAATTTTCATGCGAATCCAAACCCTGATGTCAAAATAGGTGTACGATTTGTAAAAGAATGTCTCATATATAATATTTTACCATCAGAACTAAAAACTATGAAAAACCTTAAAGTATTTAAAACACAGTTGAAATTTTTTATTATAAATAATTACATAAACTTAAAAAAAATCATAGACGAAGTTATAAATTAATATATTATAATAGAACTGATCCACAGCTCTGATTATATTTAAATAACTTATTCTCTTGACTGTCCGCATTGTCTACTACCCTCCCCCCTTATCCCTGCTCTTCCCTAACTATAATTTTTATTAATATTATTTGTTTTTTTCTTTTCTTAATTTGATTTAGATCATTTATTTGTCATATGTATGTATATTAAAATAAGTTTAAACCCGCATACAAATATAAAACATTTAGGCGAATTAAAACGAAAACGACTGTATAAATATGTTTTGTAATAAGTTATTACTAATAACGAATGAAGTATGAGTATGGGGACGTATGGCAGGCACTATCGATATCACCTTACACTAATCTCCCAGGGTTATTTTACCACCTTTTCGTTCTCCTACGTATCCCACACTGCACAGCATTACCTGTGTTTGTTGGATCCGCAATTTTACGCCGGCTGGTAGATCTACCCTAGGAGATCGTGAATGACAATGTCGATGGTTAAGGCCACTCTCGGATTTTTGTCGCCGGATCGGGTCATACGCCCAGTTTAGGCTAGTGGAGAGCGGGACAAGGAGGGTAAATGTTGGTTTTTGGAGGACATTGAACTGTCCCAAAACTAAGTGCAATCTGGAATCCTCCTCAACCGAGGCTTTAGTAATAACTCCATTCAATTGGTATTCATGAATGGGGGTAAAAGTGTTAGTAAGCTGCTAGAACCTGTCCTTGTTGGTTTCCTTCTGAACGTCTCTGCCCTCCCGTAAGATACTGGATCCTGTCTTCAGTACCGAAGTGTTGACGGCCGCGACCCACCGTAAGTGCCCTCTGCCTTCGTGGATATTCAACCCCTCCTGCCGAGCACCGACTACCGACTATGTATCTTCTTTGTTTATTATTGTTATTAGTGTATCAACCTTGTACTAAGCCCTTTTTATTGGCATGGAGTTTGTCTGGTATGTGTATGTATGTGTATCAACCGTTTACCATTTAAATTTAGTTCTTTGCATTCTTACTTTATTATCAATTTAATTTAAATTATTTTACAAACCTTAATACACAAATAGATGAAGCCGCTGTAGTGTACGTAATTGGAATACGACCCTATTGGCAGGCTTGGCAGTTTAATTGAGAGGGTCGTTGTGGTAGAAATTTTGTTTACGTGTTCTTTTCTTATTTAACAATTAAGAAATTTTTTTTTTAATTTACTCCTTCTACCATTTGTTTTTTTATACTCGAGAGGGTCTCGCAGTTTCTTTATTTAAGCAAAGATTAGAAAATGGTTTGCTTACTTACTTAAGATTTATGTGTTTATTAAGTACTACTTGTCACGTCCTATACGACAGAGAGTACCTTCGAATTTGCTTTACTTTACTTTACTTTGTTCTATTTAATGTAGGGTTCGTTAACCCTGTTCAATTATTTTATTCTTTTTTGTTGATTCTAAGGATTTAACTTGGGAAGGTATAAACACACCCGTAGACTCGGTGAATTATTATTTACGCAATTAGCGACGTGCAATATTAAAAAACTTATCTGAATATCGCAGATGTCTCTTCCAGGTTCTCTTTCAGGTTCATGGCGCAGTGAACCACCTGTTCAGGTGGTTGGATCCTTGACTCCGACAGGTGGGGTGGCAGTTCACTTCACACTTTTAACCTTTAGATATATAGGTTTTAATGCACTGCTTATGCACTGTATAATTGATTATAGTTCAGAGCGAAGAAACGCACGTGTGGCCCGTAGAAGCGATGCTTTTTGTAATATCGAATTAATAAATAAATAAAAAAAAGATAAATTATCAAAACGATTTTGAGTCATAGTACTTCGTAGTCAATTTTTTATCCCCCTCATGGCCGAAAAAGATCTCTTACAAGATGCTGAGCCTATTGGCACGTATTTTAAATTTGGTAGCATAATGATTAACGAAGCGAGAACTACCATCAAAATCAAATTTTATAAAATTGTCGATAGCATTCATTTATAGACTTGGCCAATCATTACGTCGAGTATAGCATAATAAGTTTTTATGCCCAAAGTATTCTTGGACATTTTAGAGAAAAAATAATTCATAAAATGTTGGTGCTAATTTTATTTTTGGGTTTAATGCAATAAAATAGTGCACTCTTTGCATGCTTTGAAATTAAAATCAAAACAATACAGTTAGTCACTAATTTCATGATCATAAATAAGGCGTGCTGCAATTAATAAATATGTTGGCCTATTGCGTAGACAAAAAAATCTTGTCTATTGACCGACTTAGTAAGCAGGTTTTTCGCTCGGTTTTGCCAGATCTCGCGTACATCCAGGCGACACAAATTTTAATTTGACTACACTAAGCTCTTTTGCGTGATATCTTAAATAAAATAATGTTATGCGGGTCAGAATATACAATCCAAATATGTATTTAATAAACATGAAACAAATTCACATGTTTTTATAATAACCAGAGTGTAAAATAAAAAAACTCAATCTTTTAATTGCAATTAAACCATGGTTAAAACTATTTTAGGTAGACATTGTCTATCTTGTCTACCCGCACGCATTGCCACTAAAGAAAAAAAATGTTATGTAATATTTTGACAAATCCTTTTATAAATCTCAAAAAAAATATTTCTTCTATTAGATATAGTGTTCATATTGTCCTATAAATCATTATTTTTAAGTTATTTTATTTACTCTACATTATTAAACCTTTGTTTTGCCAACCAACATTAAAAAGTAAGTTTATACATTGTTATATTGATTATTTCATTATTATAATAGGTATGTATTTTTTATAGAACACATTCATGTCCTTTATGAGCAAGTATGTTTATTTTATTGATTAAGCTTATACGAAATATATTTAATCTTTGTTATTAATATTGCTTAAGTATTTTTTTATATAAATGTTAAATATTAGTATACTATAAGTATTCTTAAAATATAATACAAGAATTACGCAACATTTTAATATTATAATTATGTATTACCTATATACATCCCTTACTAATAACATTTTACATTATATTAATAAATAAAGCCAAATTAAAGTTTATTAAAAAATACACGTTTAGATTAAAAGTAATTTTATTATCCATATTTTAAATAAAACAATTACAAAGGTATTGTAACTTAATGTTGAATTAGTCAAAAGGCAATAGCAATATTTTTAGATATTTGCCTATAGCCCAATATTTTTGACATAAAACAGACATAAAGGCGCTTTTAACATATCCCATGCAGTGTGGTATACCGTTACTGCGCCATTTTCGGGACACCCTGTATTATTTAAGATGAACTTTATTAAGATGCCTCAATTATTAAAATGAAAAGGATTTCTTAATTAAAGTTGAACAACATAAGAACTATACGAGTACTAGAAGCACAAAAAGACTCGCTTCTTGTCCTTATGACATACATTATTAGGTATTTAATATTTTTTTAATATAACTATTTTTTAACATGGCTCTCAAACATATCAGTATGTAGAATGAAAAAAAATGTAGATACTTCCAAAAATTGGACATCGAAATTAATTAGTGCTTTATAAAATTAATTGTTGCAACATTTCATGAAAATCATAGCACCTAGCACTTAACTATGTTTATTTTATCGTTTTTTTAAAAATCAATTTTTTATTTAGTGGCTAATTTTAATTATTACGTATTAGTGTTAACGTGTAATAAGGAATTCGTGCCATGCGCTTTTATGGAAAATACGTCATGTCATGTCTTCATTGTAGTATATTTAGTGTGTCAAGTGTAAGGACAGTGAAAGCACATTAGTGTGATAAAAATTAAAATATGCTAAAAATAAAGAAAAAGAAAAAATATTTTCAATTATGGGATTAGTTGATATGTTTGTTGCAGGTTTATGTTTTAATCTTACATGCCCTTTGGAACCATATATAAGTATGTATGTTTTGTCCTAATACGTACCTTATAATATTTCACAAATATTGTATTGAAAATTAAATTCGTGTTTATACAGGGTATATTAAAAACATGTCCTTAAACTATAAAAAAATCTGAAATGTTGATTTGTTGCCATTTTTAATAAAAAAAATTAAACAATTGAACATTGTTTTACACACATTATACGAGTTTTATTTTAAGAATATAAAAATACATACCTTTCAGACTCTAGATACAAAAATGTGATCCTTATTGCTTAAAACAAAAATATTTTTTTAGCGCCGTGTAAGCACCCGTTAAACGACCCCGCTTTACCTCGTTTTTTATTCGTGCTGAAATTAACAATAATTGCAAACAATGGCAAGCTTTGGATTAACGTTAAGTACAGAAAAAAACTTACGTTTGAACGTTTTTTTGATGTACAGAAATCGCTAACAGAGAAAAGAGGAAGCTGTTATCCAAGAGGCTTCAAATTTTAAATATAGAAGTTTTATGGGTCACTGATTACAAATTTTAGTTTTCAAAAAATAAAATGGCAAATTTAATATGGCGGTTATTCTTTCACATCTAGCTTCTAAAAGGTGTGTATTTTTATACTCTTGAAATAAAAGAAAATTCAGTTAATGTGTGTAGAGCAAAGTTTAATATTCATTAGTTTAATTTTTTTACTAAAAATGACAACAATTCAACATTTCAGATTTTATTATAGTTTTAGTGCAAATAACATTTATTTATTTACACAGTAGAATTGTTCCCAATTTTTGTTGTATTACCAAAAAAATAAAAGACAACCAGCTTAATTGTAGAAATAATTATGTAGGTACTAAGTTCAACATTATTTATTAAGTATTAATACCTTTTTTTTTAGAGAACTACTGTTTTAAAAATACTTTTACCAATATATCAAGAGGTATGAAAAAAAATGTTTATAATATTTTAATTATTTCTTCACAGTTTTTAGCAAAAGTACTTGTACCCTTGAGTTCTTTTAAGATTGTTAAAAATGGTAATCTCACAAATATGGTCTCCTATTTTGGAACTAAAAAATCATTTATTTTCATTTATTTAAATCTAATTTTAAAACAAAATATTTCTATACTATTATTCATAATCGCCGCCATGGTAATAATAGCTCCTGAAAATTTTTATGCTTTAAAATAACGTATCAATTATTTAATATAACAGTTTCTCAAATATATGACCTTATTTTTGGGTTACCCTCGTAAATTTTCCTAAATAGTTTTAAAAGTTAAATCAAATACATCCAACTAGCAAGAACCAAATAATACTAACATGTTTATCATATTTTTTAGGTATAGGAGTAGATCATGTTAATGTTACCTGTCCAGTTATTGATATTAGTAAGTTTTTTTAAGTATTTTACATGCCTATCAAACAGTTGCTTTATATCTGCCCTATTTGTAAAAAAAACTTGAAGTTGAAAATTACAAATTTTTAAAATAAAACTAGTCTAATATCTTCAATGTAAATTAAGTTAAATGGTAAATTATTTTTCACACAATGCATTTGAATGTAAGCTATTCTTATTTGTACTTAACTTCTTTTATACAATGTCTAAGACACCAATATCGGTTGCCCAGTATACTTTTCTAATTTTTTCCGAACAACCAACAACCGACTTTAAGTTATGGTAAGGTAGTACGTAAAACTCTCTAATTTTCGCTTCGAGGCCACCCTAAATATAAATCGTTTTGGCATTTATTTATTATTGGAGTAATACAAACCTGAAAATCAATTTTTATATATTATATTAAACGCATACTTATGTAAAGTGCACTGAAGAAAATAGTGCTCGAGCGTAGATTTTATAGAAGCAATTGTCAACTAGCCTTTCTGTCTTTAACACAGTATAATAATGTGCATCGTGAAAGTTTTGTAGCCGATTGTTGAATGTTTCTTCTAGTGAGTTGGTAAAATAAATATTCCATAGTAGTGTAACTTCGGAGTATCAGCGGTTCAAACAACTACACGGATAAAAAAAACAGTAACTATTAATGCGGAGAACATCAATGCAGTCAATATAGTATAATTATAAATACAATATCTAGTATCCTTACAGATTAATTTGACAACAGCAAAAGTTACTTGTGTCACATCAATGAGTAGTACCAGGAACTATACTACCATGCTAAGGTTAAGAGTCCTACCTGCAATATTAAGTAATATTGTACGTGTACAATCCGGATTTTTTAGAACTAAAACAAACCCTGGAATTTAACCTAAATTTTAACCAAAACGAAGAGCTGGTCTTAAAAAGAACAACAAAGTTGGCCTTAAAAAGAACAAAAAAGTTGGCATGAATTTTGTTTCCAGGCTTACGATGACTTTAAAGAATCCCTCTTTAAAGTATATGTCGGCGCCCTTATTAATTAGTGGTCTACGCTCATAATTCTTTTTTAGACTTATGTTTATTTTAGTTGATAAGATTTGTGTAACGATGTTTAATCTAAACAAAAAGTCCCATGCATGTGGAGAATGTCATTTTCTTCGTATTAGGTGTTTATGATTAAGTCTAACACTAATACGATATATTTATTTTTGTTGATATAATTTATATGAAGTTGTCTAGACAAAATAGTTATAGTTCTTTAAAACGTAGAAAATATATTAGGAGGGGTAAAAGGTCTTTATGGGAACCGCCAAAATAAGCTTGGCGAACGGAACGCATCCAGCAGATAGATTTTGACTTGTCGTGAAACAAGTTGAATCTCTGAATTGATTTTTGATTGACTATTGTTGGTCTAGCGATCATTGGTTTTCTTTTTTTTGTAGCTAATAATTAGTTTGGGACGATTATTATTAATTTGGTGCTTTGTGCGGATTTATCTGACTACGTGTTTTATTAAATAACTTTGTATTAAAAACCAGTGTAGTGCATTCTTTTAAAATGTCTAGGCATCCTAACCCTAAGTCGCCCTCGTTAATCTCTGACATCAGAAGTAGGATCAAGGCTGCCAGTGCAATATTCAGACAGTGAAAGTGACAAAAAAATAACGCAGTTTGTGATGACCCTATCCTCAAAAGAATTAAAGAACGGATAATGCTGGCGACCTCAAGTCTGCCAACAGCAATGGAGTGAATTAAAAGTAGAGTTCTTAGCAGTCTTATATATAAAAGTATATTTTTTGGAAGCTTTTTCTGAGGAAATTAATGGCAAGAAAAATAATTCACATGACGTGCCATTAATTGACGAAATGCCATTTTCGATGAGAAACATTTTGTCACTATTAAAAAATAGAGAAAGCGACGAATCGTTTGCTGTAATGGTAGCTTGCTACTTTTGGTCTACCCGGGATGAGTACGTACTGAAGCGCTATATAACTGATAAACCAGTGGATGCAAAAAGTATGTGCACCATGTTACAAGGGCGTCTAGGCAAACGTTCGTCCCTATTTTCCTCCAGTCATCATACTGGATCGAAGCGCCAAGCTTTGTCTCTGCCCTTTAAAAATGAAAGGTTCCATAAACGTCCTGAAAATTGTTTTACGTGCGGAAAGGCGGGACACAAGGCTGCTGATTGCAAAAACCCATCTGCAAGTGTTTATTTCCAAAGAAAGAAGATTGACAGAGAGGTTACTTGTTTTAAGTGTGGCAAGTTAGGACGTATTTCTCCTTGCCCGTAGGTCATTTGAAGATTAGATCTGGTGAGACCTTTCCTTTTTTTATTTGACACAGGTTCAGACTGTTCTCTTTTAAAAGAACATATTGCCTGTAAATTTAATGGTAAACGTTTAAGCAATTTAACTACTTTAAAGGGTGTTATTAATCGCTCACTATGTACTAATCAAATTTTAACTGTGATTAGGATTCAGAAAATATTAATTGAGATTTTATTTTTTGTGATACCGGACGATTTTATTTCGCCCAATATTATTATAAGAAATAATTTAATTAAAATAAATATTGCTGTTCGTTTGGACCCAAAGGGTTTATCTTTTAGTCGTGAATTCAAGTTTGCGAAGCAGAAAACACGAATTTTGATACGGATTTGTACAAAAATCACCCTGTCTCATATTTTAGTAAACGAACATCTGGCCCCGAGTCTAGATACCACTTTTACGAACTCGAAACATTAGCCGTTGTTAATGCTGTCAAGCACTTTCGATACTTCTTATTGTGAAATCATTTTTACAGTTTTTACCGAATGTAATTTTCTTAAGTCTTCACGTACAAAACATGATCTTACGCCTCGTCGAATGAATCAGGATAATTTCTTGTCACGAAATCATAGTACCCGAGTGTACCGAAAGATAAAAATTCCAAACCCCTTAACGTTATTCAAAATGTCGAATTACAAAAAGACTGGCTGCTAGTAGCTCAACAACGCAATGACAGCCTTTTAAAACTTATTGCCGATCTAAAGAGCAACGACCTCGACCCTATTGCAAAAAAACATGATATTCTAAACAATAGTCTGTTTCAAAAAATAGAGAAAAATGATTATTAACTTGGTTTACCTGTGGTACCCAAAAGTCCTTTATTGTCACTGCCTACAAGACAGACTTGGAGAAGCTAAAAAATCCTGAAATTTACAGAAGGTGTTAGAATTGATAATTTTTTCTTCAAACTGATAATAGACAAAGAGAAACTAGTCCAAAATCAGGAAAACCATAAGTCACTCCTCAGTTATCTTTTAATTTATTTTACCACAATATGCAATGCCTGCGAACAAAAGTTAATGAGGAAGCATATATCGGAGAAAAATGCTCTGTATGAATGAAACTTGGTTAATGGAAACTGAAACGGAATATTTAAAGATTGGCAACTTTAGAACGGCCTCCCAATTCTCTAGGAAGGTTGGGGCGCATGCTGGAGTTGTTGAAATGCTGGATAACACACTGACCTACGAGCATCTTGAGGACTTGAATTCATTATCAATTGAACAGTATTGTGAAATATCTGCTGTTTTAATCCCAGTTTTTAACTTAGCTGTCATAACTGTCTACAGGTCACCAACCCCGAAAGAAAGTTTTGTGATTTTCATGGAGATCATTGAAAATGTATGTAACAAGGTCAACTTTAAGAGGGGTAATGTAAGGCCTAACCACTGACATAATAAAATCAGATTTTTACTCCACTTACAAAATTGATAAATCAATGCATTACTTCGAGAATTTTTCCAAGAGTGCTCAAAAAAGCGGTTATCATACCTATTCATAAAAAGGGCCACATAAATGAACCTAATAACTATAGACCAATAGCACTCTCGCCAGTGTTTTCAAAAATCTTTGAAAAGCTTCTGGTAGCCCAGGTTGTCTAATACTTTAAAAAAAATAAGTTGTTCTCAAAGCATCAATTTGGATTTCGTCGAAGCTTGTCTACAACAAGCGCTATTAAGTCTTTTGTAGATACCATAATCAAATGCTTTAAACAGCGCAAATTTTTTTGCAGCCAGTTTGTTTGACCTCAGTAAGGCCTTCGATTGTGTCCCACCCCTTATACTGCTGCGAAAGCTTTACTTTTACGGATTCTCCCCGGGCACTTGCCGCTTGATTATGTCTTATATGACTGGTAGAACGCAGTGTGTGACTGTTGATGGTGCTGTGTCAGAGGAGATTTTTGTAGATATTGGGATGCCCCAGGGCTCTCATTTTGGCCCCGTTCTCTTTGTTATATATATAAATGACCTCCCTGACACGATTTTGTCGGGAGCTGGTGCTTCTGAGGGCTCCACTGAGTTTGGGGTAGATAATGTAACCATTTTTGCAGATGACACATCTTTCCAAACTAAGAACAGGGTCTTGGGTGTGGCAGTTGAGGCAAACACTATAGCACAGTTGAGGGCTTCACTGTGGTTCGGTACAAACAGGCTTCTCCTAAATGTGGGTAAGACTGTAAACTTGATGTTCACACTACGACGGTTTGATAATAATAACTACTCGCAGAGTGCCAGACTCTTGGGATTGTACATTGACCACAAACCAGTGGCGGTTGGTGGATTTTATGTATACCAATAACCTGTTTATTAGACATGGGACCCACACCAAATTTATAATAGTTTATAATGACATTAAATAAACAAGTTAGGCGCAAACAGGATTTAAATTGAAGTTTGCGGTAGGGCTTAAGTAATTTAAATGCAAGTTGAAAGCAATTCAAAATTTTTTTGCAGAGTATGTTTTATTGTGTTATTAGAAGTCAAAATATCGGAAAATTAAAATCGCAAATCAGCCCGTTTCTTTTTTTTTAACCAAATTACGATTTTTTTTTAAATGACATTAAAATGTAATAACCAAATTACGATTTTTTTTAAATGACATTTAAATGTAATATCTACATATATACAAAATGATTAAAAAATAAATAAATGTGTGTATAATATAAAATCAATAAAAAAATTCATTTTCAACATAAAACAGTTTATTTTTGCTAACAAAAATAACAAACGACCAAACCATCAGTATAAGTAATACAATTAAAAACATCAAAATAAATCATTAAATTATAAATAATCAAACATGTTGACTGTCATATTCACAGGTAGCTTTTAATAATCTCTCACCGAAATCTGGATGATTTTTTTTAACTTTGTATTTATTCCAAGTCACTTTGAAATCTGCGTGTACCGACTCCATTGCCTGCTCACTATAATATCCCAATGCTTTATTATTTTTATGACAAAAATACTCTACATGCCAGAATACAGCATGAACCCTTGGGGTTATATTGATATTTAAACTTAAATAACTAATTCGAAAATCAGTAATATTTTTCTTATAATGTGTTTTTAACGTTTCACCAAAACAGGAATCAACTACCTTTCCAAATTTAGATAAACAATTTGCGAATGGTAAACAGCCAATATTATAGCTATTTGAGTTTCTCAAAATGTCAACATTTTTCAACAACTTAGCGCATCCATTTCCGTCAAAACCTCGTCCTCCGTTGGTGATCACTCTCGATAAACCGCATTCTACTGCCCATTTTAGAGGGTCAGTCAAGTTGCCCCCCCCAATCGTACAAACCCCCTCTATTATACATCATAATTTTGCACACATTTTGCACAATTTTGCACACCCCTTCTTAAATTTTGCACACACCTGCTTTAGAAATGGCAAGAAAAATGATGTGGGGGGGGCAAACTTGACGCTTGCCCCCCCCTTTGCTCCGACAAACTCTACTTTTCGTCATCATAATCTCCTAATTTTGCACAATTTTGCACACCTCATTTCAAATTTTGCACACCCCTCCATCCACCCCCACGGCATCCCAAAAATTTATTTACTAGCCCCCCCCCACTGACAAAATCCGCTTTGTTTTTATGCTATCCTGATTCTCCAATTTTGTACAATTTTGCACACCTCATTTCAAATTTTACACCTTTTTCAAATCTAGCCTAACCCCCACATTAACGTCCTCGCTCACTGTGTTTCCGAAAATTTTATCCAGCTCTCTCCTTGCCACTGCCAAAATTCTATTAGGTATACCTTGTTATCTAAATTTGCACAAATTTGGAAACCATAATTAAAAGAAGGAAAAGTATTCAAAGGCCAAGCTTTTATTTTTTGCCGTGAGGATGAATGGAGGGGTGTGCAAAATTTAAAATGAGGTGTGCAAAATTGTGCAAAATTGGAGGATTAGGATAGCACAAAAACAATGAGGATTTTTGCCGGTGGGGAGGGCTAGTGCATATCTTTTTGGGATGCCGCGGGGGTGGATGAAGGGGTGTGCAAAATTTGAAATGAGGTGTGCAAAATTGTGCAAAATTAGAGGATAAGGATAGCAAAAAAAAAAGTGAATTTCTTCAGTGGGGGGGGGGGGGCTAGGAAGAAATTTTTGGGACACCGTGAGGAATGAAGTAGGGGTGTGCAAAATTTGAAATGAGGTGTGCAAAATTGTGCAAAATTAGAAGATTATGGTGACGAAAAGTAGAGTTTGTCGGAACAAAGGGAGGGGCAAGCGTCAAGTTTGCCCCCCCCCACATGATTTTTCTTGCCATTTCCAAAGCAGGTGTGTGCAAAATTTAAGAAGGGGTGTGCAAAATTGTGCAAAATGTGTGCAAAATTATGATGTATACTAGAGGGGGTTTTCACGATTGGGGGGGGCCAACTTGACTGACCCCATTTTAGAGCATCATTTATGTATAAAGCTTCCATTTTTTCGAAAATTGTGTTAACCAGCCCTAGCACAAGGTTCAATTCTGTCGGTGGAAATACATCGATGATCAGGATTTTTTTTGATTATTAGCATGTTAACGCAGCATTTAAACTCTTTAGATTTTTTCTTATCGCGTCCACTGGCTTCCCATTCTCTATAATTTTTTATAATACTTCCAAAAGTTCTATATATGCCGCATTCGCATAATTTAACTTTTGAAATCTCACACCAACTACATGGATATGAAGAAGAGTGCGGCATCAAACCTAAGAGAATGTTAATCAATTTTAAATCACTTGCTATAGTATACCGAAACTTATTACAGGAAAAATTAATTTTGTTACATAATGTATTAATGTTTGCATAATTTGCTTGAGTATCGCTGACTATGCCCAAAATAAATAATTTCTTAACGCCGGTTTCTTTGAATTTTTTGCTACGATTCCATCTTTGAAATTTTGACGTCGAGATTTTGCCTTTGTGCCTTCATAATATGATTCGTCCACAGTCTCATTATTGATTAGTT